AATTAAGAACGAGGGAGACAGATTTTTAAATTTAGTTACAGACCGTCAACAAATTTGAAAGGGCAATTCTCTCAAATAGATATTTTAAAATTTTTGTCATAAAAATTGATTTTAAAAACTAAAATGACCAAAATATTATTTTTATTTTGAAAATTTTAGTATTTATCCTTTTTTTTTTAAATTTGAAATCATATTCCCAAAACGCTATTTTTTAACTCTAAACCATAAATCATAAACTTTAAACCACAAACCTTAAACTCTAAACTCTAATATAAGTGTATATTAACTTGTTTTGATATAATATTTAAGTTTATTTAGGTCATTTTATTTTTAAGTTCTATATATATTCGTGACAAAAAAAAATTAGGTTTATATTAAAAAAAAATTTCTATTTGAAAGGCAACCTATCCAAATTAGAACGAAAATTCAAGGTTCAAAAAATATATGTATTTGAAAGACAACAGTACTAGAGTTGGAATTAACTAGAGGCAAGAACATACCTAAAGGTTAAATCGTAGTCCATTGTTACAAGGATAATTAAAACATAAGTGCTAAATGAATCACTAAAACAATTATGAATCAACACAAACGTACCAGGGTTAGTACTGCGAAGAGTTAGAACGTACATAAGAAAAGTTTATATATGACATACGAAATTCTACGAGCAAGGAAAAGAGAGTGAGGTCCACTATCGTCTATTTAATTCACATTTGACGGTCTAATAAATACACAAGATAATTAATACAGTACCGAATTTTTATGTGCAACCAACATGGATCAACAAATGAGAGATATACATTTTCTCTTGGTCACAGAACTTAAATCATATTCACTTCCAATAAACATGACGCAACAATAATAGAATAAAGTAACAACAACATGTATTCTTAAGTTTTTGAACAAAAAAAAGAGTACTCTTAAGCCTGGCTTGAGAAGGTGTCAAATGTAAACTTCTCTTACTTCGTTTTTCCCCGGGCATATGAACAAATCCATCATAGTCAACAACCCCATATAGACTTACTTTTCAAGGAAACGAAAAGGAGAATTTGCTATACTAATGATGACAATTTTATGTCCAAATTATTAAGCACTCATTGCTCAAGAAAATGTCTGAATATTTACATAATCTAGGCCTAATTTTAGGTCGGATAATGTGATGTTCATGCCTCCAGCTCATTGACACTCTTCTAGGCGTAATAATTATCTCGTTATTACATAAAATATGATGATAATTGATAAATTAGAATTTTAATACTCCATTATATAGTACTGGAATCCAAACTAGTAATTTAATGATAACTAGATCTTGATCTGCACAAGGTGATGGTAATTATTTTTATTTTCTACAAAAATTAGATTTACGTGATTAGTGATATATAATTTTAATATTTATCATATTATTACTAGTTTAATATAATATTTTCAAACATAATAATTTTATAGTTTGCATGTAATAATTTAATTTATTTGTTTCAAATTTTTAGTGATATATTTCTTATTAACACATGAACACTAACTAAAACTTTACATTATATGATATTTACAACAACATTAATTGAAAAATATTAGTTAAATTATCACAAATTCAATACAAAATAATGCATGAATTTAATATAATTACATAATTAGATACTAAAAAGGTTTATTTTAGTAGATATGAAATATATATTGATATTTCAAATAATTACAAAATTGATTAAATATTTAAAACGTTTGTTTAAGTGAAAAACGAAATATTCATTTATATTTTAAAAATAAGAAAGTAATTACATATTTTCAAATGTTTGTTTTAATGAAAAAATGAAATATATATTTATATTCTAAATAAAAATATATGAAAATAATTTGTTTAGATGTAATTCAGAGAAAATATAGGAATATCTATTTGATTTTTCTTAAAATAGTTAAAATATTTTAATATATATACAAAAATTCATTTAAGTAAATTTTTAAGGAATGATCCTATTTTAATAGTATTGATAAGTCAAAATAAACCAAAAAGTTTGAGTTACATGTTCAACTTTAGGTTACGGTTTACTGGTAAAGAGTCAACAAAACTATTATTTACATAATTAACACAAGTAAAACCGTAAAAGTGTTCATCTGTTAAAAAGATTTAGAGTATTTGGTTCTTGGAAAACATAAATTTCCACGTTCATTTTTTGTTAATCATCCATTCCATAAAAGAAAACACGAAAATCAGTTTGGTCAGTTTATGTAAAACCAAACTTTTAAAAATCGATTCAAATTTGGTTTGGTTACTGCATTTTCACCTTAGAAACCATTTACTTTAACTGATTTTTTTTTAAATTACAGTACAATATAGGAAAATTAATAATTTTGTCTATCCACAATCAAGAACATATCCCCTATATATTAATTGAGAAACATTTGAAAACATGTAACCTCAAGTTTA